TTTTTTTTTTCTAATGCCTGTTTTAATTGGAGGGTTTGGCAACATTTTATTGCCAATATTTACACGACAGGGTGATATGAAGCTCCCACGAATTAATTCTTTTAGTCTTTGAATCTTAATACCATCGATGATAAGGTTGCTAATTAGCATGTACCTGGGTTCAGGTGTTGGTTGAACATTTTATCCGCCCCTTTCGAGAAAGTATTTTTCTGGTAGTGGTGTGGATTATATGTTAATCTCTTTACACCTAGCTGGTTTATCTAGTATGTTAGGGGCTTTAAATTTTATTATAACTTGTAATTGTTATTTTTATTCTACTTGTTCTGGTTTAGATTCTAAGTTGTACATAGATTGGGTACTTCGTACGCCTATGTTTGTGTGGGGTTATTATTTTACTTCTTTTTTATTGTTTTTATCAATTCCAGTTTTAGCAGGAGCTATAACGATGTTATTATTTGATCGTAAATTTGGAACATCCTATTTTGATCCATTAGGTGGGGGTGATTCTATAATGTTTCAACACATGTTTTGATTTTTTGGACATCCGGAGGTTTATGTTTTAATATTACCAGGTTTCTCTATGATTGGACACATCTGTACAGAGCTTAGGAATTGAGAGTCTCCTGTGGGATATTTGGGTATGGTGTTAGCAATGTTTTCAATAGTTGTTTTAGGTTTTATTGTTTGAGCCCATCACATGTTTACCGTTGGAATGGACATAAAGAGTATATCATTTTTTAGTGCTGTTACAGCACTAATAGGTATACCAACTGGTGTAAAGGTAATTTCGTGAGTATCTATGTTAACAACAGGATCCGTTGGTTTAGGTGATCCTGTTGTTTGGTGAATTATTTCTTTTATAGTATTATTCACACTTGGTGGTATAACTGGAATAGTTTTATCTGCTTCAAGTTTAGATATTAGCTTGCATGATTCATGGTTTGTTGTTGCTCACTTTCATTATGTATTATCGCTTGGTTCATATAGTACTGTTGTCATTGGTATTTTGTGATGATGACCGGTGTTAACTGGTTATAAGATTTCTAAGGTTTATGCGCAAGCTCATTGTATTATTTCTGGTGTAGGATTTAATTTATGTTTTTTTCCAATGCATTATTTTGGTATGTGTGGTTTGCCTCGTCGAGTTTGTGTTTATGATTCATCCTTTTATTGAATAAATGGTGTGTGTACTCTGGGTAGGTTTTTATCTTCGTTTAGTGCTTGTTTTTTTATATATGTTTTATGGAATTCTTTGGTGGAACGAGATTTGGTTATTGGTAGATTTCGTAAAACAGGTTCTATAGTTAATGTAATGTTTTGGCCTATGACATTTCATACTGTATTTCATAGAAAATCAGTTGAAACATCATTTGTTGTTAATATGGAGCATCAATAATATAATAATTAGTATTCTATCTTTCCAAGTTAGGTGTTTGAATTGTCAATTGGTGTATTTCACTTAGTTTAAAATTAGAATTATGATTTTGTAATTCATAGGTGATTGTTTTATCAGTGTACTAGCTTTTAAGTTTTGAATTGTGTTATTGGGATTTCGTTCCTTTTGCATCATGATAAATCGAAATATTTAAATTATTTTTATTTTTCGAAACTAGTAGATAT